GAAAACAGTTTTCTGTTAGTAAATGGACCCAAAATATTTTCTGAAAAATGACTAATTTTCGGAAAAACATTTTCCAGAAGTCATTTTCAGGGTTTTCAAACGGAACTTAAAGGAAAAGGTTAGTTTGGAACTACTTAATAGGTTGCGAGTTACCCTAGACTCCTGCGTAATTTTTAATTCTATGTAAATGTATACAAATCTATACAATATATAAAAATAAAATCTTGAACTTTAACTTCCCGCCCAATTCCTAAAAAATCTCCGTTTTCTAATAAAAATATATTGTTTTCTACTTTTATATTCGTACTATAATTCTAGGTTACAATTCATATTATAATGTTATAAAATAGTGTAATACAATTCCTATTCTAATCTATACTATATATAAAAACAAAATCTTGAACTTTAACTTCCCGCCCAATTCCTAAAAAATCTCTCTTTCTGATAAAAATATATTGTTTCCTACTTTTATATTCGTACTATAATTCTATGTTACAATTCATATTTTAATATTATAAAATAGTGTAATACAATTTCTATTCTAATCTAATCTATATCTATATTATATATAAAAACAAAATCCTTGCACAAAAGGAGCCCCCTCACTATCGCTGGTGAGACTCGATCCTTGGTTATTCTTCCAACTTTTCACCTCTACGACTAGTTAAACTGCCCATGCGAGTTAAAATTCATATTCAAATATTATAAAATAGTGTAATACAATTCCTATTCTAACCTATACTATATATAAAAACAAAATCCTGAACTTTAACTTCCCGCCAATTCATAAAAAAATCTCGCATAAAAAATATATTGTTTTCTACTTTCTTATTCTTACTATAATTCTAAGTTAAAATTCTTATTCTAATATTATAAAATAGTGTAATACAATTATATTCTAATCTTTAATATATATAAAAACAAAATCCTGAACTTTAACTTCCCGCTAATTCCTAAAAAAATATATTTCTAATAAAATATATTGTTTTCTGCTTTACTATTCGTAGTATAATTCTAAGTTAAAATTCATATTCTAATATTATAAAATAGTGTAATACAATTCCTATTCTAATATATACTATATATAAAAACAAAATCTTGAACTTTAACTTCCCCTCAATTCCTAAAAAATATCTCTTTCTAATAAAATATATTGTTTTCTGTTTTCCTACGATATTATAAAATAGTGTAATACAATTCCTATTCTAATCTATATCTATACTATATATAAAAAAAAAAAATCTTGAACTTTACCTTCCCGCTCAATTCCTAAAAAATCTTCCATCTGATAAAAATATGTTGTTTTCTACTTTTATATTCGTACTATAATTCTAGGTTACAATTCATATTCTAATGTTATAAAATAGTGTAATACAATTCCTATTCTAATCTATACTATATATAAAAACAAAATATTGAACTTTAACTTCCTGCCCAATTTCTAAAAAATCTCTCTTTCAAATAAAAATATATTGTTTTCTACTTTCATATTCGTACTATAAATCTAGGTTTAAATTTCTATTATAATATTATAAAATAGTGTAATACAATTCCTATTCTAATCTATACAATATATAAAAATAAAATCCTGAACTTTAACTTCCCGCCCAATTCTTAAAAAATCTCTATTTCAGATAAAAACATATTGTTTTCTACTCTCCTTAATTCAAGGTTAAAATTCCTATTCTAATATTGTAAAATAGTTTAATAAAATTCTATTCTAATCTATACTTTTATATATATATATATATATATATATATATATATATATATATATAACAAAAAAAACAAAAAAAAAACAAAATCCTGAACTTTAACTTACCGTCCAATTCCTAAAAAAATCTTTTTCTAGGGTTTAGGTTAAAAACTTTGTCAGGGAATAACTTTTCACTCGGTTGTCTGTTTTAGACAATTTTTTTTTCAAATCGCGTATTTTTTCGAGATCTACCCACCGCAAACAGCCAAAGGCAGTTTGCCCCACCAATTTCTCAAAAACATGCTTCTTTTGCTCTTAATTTTAATTTTTTTATGTATTTAGATGATTTCAACAATATTT